TTTTTTTCATAAATATAAGCATTAGGTGACCTTTTACTGTAAAATGTTATTGCAATTTAAGAGCCCAGCTAATGACAGGACTAACCTTGTTGTTAGCTTAGGCTGTTCCGCTTCCACTCTTGAGACACAAATCATCTGTTTATCTTTGAGCCATAAAGTCTGCACACAATAGCTTTACTGCGCCATTTTCACATTGGGAGACATTTGTGGGAAATAATCCCTAACTGAGAAGCAAAAAAAATGCCACCTCAGTGTGTGTGTGTGTTTTCTTGAAATCAAGTTAAATTGTTCCACTAACTATGCTGTGCAAAAGACTGATATTATTTATATGAGGGGGAAAACTTGTGTGGAAAAGTTTGTTGTCAGGAGGGAGAGAAAAACAACACTTTTGGTACAGTTTGCTTCCTAGTTTTACAGTTTTCAATGACTCACAGGGAGTTATTATCATAGCATCCCTTTGATTAAAATTATGTGTCTGGTGTGGTCCCAAACCATTCACTAGGCAAATTGCAGAGCTTGTTTCTGTTGAGCATTTCAAAATATAACAGAAATCTCAGCTGCTGAAAAAAATGCTGAAAAAAAGCCTGTTGAAATTGCAATGCAACAGCTTCAAACTTTAGAGCTTCTCTACAACTGAGGTATTGAGGTTCGCAGTCTCTGTGGCCAGGGGCTGAAGGTGTGAGAGAACCCATCAGTTATTCACTTGGGCTATGTCATGCTAGTCTTAAAACACGGGTAGGTTGCCTTCAAGTTTGCAGGACATACTTTGTTTGGTATACTAGAACTCAGAGGTCCACGAACCACAGCCAGGTACAAAATATGGCTTAGGCATGTGGACAATATGCTAAGAATTAAGGAACAGGGTGCCTCTGAGGACATGCCAAGTACAATTTGTGATCAGTGCCAGAACCAAGCTCTCTCTCTCACACACGCACACATATATATACATACATAATTTTATTTGTATGCTGCCTTTCCACACTTTGAACCATGCTCAACATGACAAAATGCACAACTACAGCATAACAGAAGACAGCTACAACATAACAGAAGTAGTTATAAACAATAAAAGTAACATTAAAAAATACCAAACTAAACCATTTCCACGTAAATCACAACAAAATCTAAAATAAATATGCAAAAAAATCAACAGTAACAGCAGCAACAACAGCCCCCTCCCCCTGCATAAACAATACCCCAGCCCAAGAATCTATCCCTGTTGTTGGTTTTTCCCAAGCAGTGGTTGTGGACAGGGAGCGTCTTGTTGATATTGTTATGACATTTGGCAAGAATCATAGAACTGTAGAGTTGGAAGGGACCGATCATCTAGTCCAACCCCTTGCAATGCAGGACTAGGAGTTGGAAGACAACCTGTTGCAAAGCACTCTGAGAACTATCAAGAGATGTTGATCTCTCTTCTGCACATCCCTGGACACACCAGTCAGAAAAGGGGCAAGACTTTAATTGCCCCTCCAAACAACAACGTAAGCAACAGAACACTTCACTCTACCCAAATGTAACTAAGGCCTTTGCCACCTGCTGACGAAGCTATATAATGATACAGGGTATGCCCCATCTGGCTCTGGGCTCAGGGCTGAGTGCTCACTGAGAGCCCTAGTGCTCACTGGAAGGACAGATCCTGAAGCTGAGGCTCCAATACTTTGGCCACCTCATGAGAAGAGAAGACTCCCTGGAAAAAACCCTGATGTTGGGAAAGATGGAGGGCACAAGGAGAAGGGGACGACAGAGGACGAGATGGCTGGACAGTGTTCTCGAAGCTACCAGCATGAGTTTGACCAAACTGCGGGAGGCAGTGGAAGACAGGAGGGCCTGGCGTGCTCTGGTCCATGGGGTCACGAAGAGTCGGACACGACTAAACGACTAAACGACAATGTCCCATCTAATCATACTCCTGGTCCTGAATTCTTAAACTAGCAGTGGATGGGTTGCTACCACTCCTCCTTCCTACCTCTGACCTCAGAAAAGTTGCTGGGCTGTACTTTGCTAAGAGATCCCTCAAAACTGGCCCTGGATATCTTAATTTTGCTGTCTTCAGTGGGTTGCAACCAATTAAGTTGTACGCAGAGGAGACCCATTAAAATGGATGGACCTAAGTTGGTCATGTCAATTAATTTCAATGAATATAAGTTACTTGGCTCCAGTCCCCTGTGTCTAAGGCAGGGGTGACTAACAAGATACAACTGTGGGGACTGAGTTAAGCCTGTTTCCTGCTTACCTCCCTTTGGTCACAAGATGTAGCATGAAAGTATGGCCTGAGTAAAAACCACATCATTGCATCACTAGACATAATTACACACCTATGTATCCTGTAGTTACAGAAAGATATTCTCACTGGCAAAAACAGGGATGAATTCCAGCCTTTTACAAGAAAAGAGACAGACAAGACACCCCTTGTTTCCTCAGGACAAAGGCTTCCAGTGTGAGCATCTGCAACAGAGTGAAAACTTCCCATTTAGTGAAAACTGATTACATAATTACATCCGCTTTCTGTGATTGGGCAAATCAGCTTAGGGTTGCCATTGCTGGGATTCAGCCATTGGAAAATGTGTCCAGGCACAACTTTTGTGTCCGGATTTTGAAATATGGTAACCTTAGAAGAAAACACCTTAGAGTGAGACCTTGAGCAAATTCATAATGGAGAGAAGACTGCTATCACACAACAAAGTTTAGAAGAGAAGTGATATCCCATCACTGGAATTCACTCATATACAGTACCAGAACAGACATCAGAGAGGGCTAAGCCACCATTTCCATACTTTTAACACTAGCCATGGTTAGAAAGGGTGGGAAGTGGTGGGAATGTGTTGTCAGTTAAATGTTGTGAGAATGCAGCGGACGGAGAAAACGAAAGCTGGACTTCAGTACCCCTCCAGGCCAGGAGTTGTCAAAAGAATATCATCCATGTTCTGCCAGTTCCAAGTGGCCTGTTTCAAGGACACCACCTAGGCAAGTCATGACTGATTAGGTTTTTCTCTAGGGAAGTTGTCTGGGTTTGACACTGGCTGGTGGAAGAACTATGAAGTTGCTGTAACCTCTGCACTACTTGGTACAGAACTGTTATGTCCAGGGTTCTTTCAAGGATGTTGCTCACCTGATGTTACTCACTTTCCTTGGGTGCTTTTGCCTGGCTAGATCATTCACTGAACTGTGATCATGATGGTTCTTGCTTGCCTGGATCCACCTCTGGATGATAAGATTGTGGTTATGATTTAATAGAAGCTCCTGTTGCTCGGTCCCTGCTCCTGCCAACCTAGCAGTTCGAAAGCACGTCAAAGTGCAAGTAGATAAATAGGTACCACTCCGGCGGAGAGGTAAACAGCATTTCCATGCACTGCTCTGGTTCGCCAGAAGTGGCTTAGTCATGCGGCCAATAAAGCGAGATGAGCGTCGCAACCCCAGAGTCGGTCACGACTTGACCTAATGGTCAAGGGTCCTTTTACCTTTACCAACAGAAGGGGAGAAACAGGAACTCCATGGAAAATGGGGTGGGAGGTTGATAAAAATAAGAGAAAAGACGAAATTGTATTTTGATTGTATAGGTTAAAAATGTTGAAACTTAATAAAGCATAATGGAAAAGAAAGAGAGAAAGATGTTTGCAGCTGTGTGTGTGTGTGTGTGTGTGTGTGTGTAAACCCCTGATTTTTGTATGGCTGGCCTTTTGTACAAAGATCAGAGCTACATCCATTGCTTTGCTTATTTTTGTTTCTTTCCCTGTCCACTTGCCTTCTGGGCATGCCCATCACCAACATGGAACCCCCTGGGAGGTTGTCGGTGGAATGTGGCCTTTGGACTGACAAACGATCCCACCTTGATATGGAGGGAAAGAGGCAGCCACCTTTGCAGGTTGTACAGATGTACATTTTGGGCCCATTTGTGCTATAGTCTCCTAGTATGTGGTCACATGAAGTCAGAGGAGAGTGACCCTGTGCCCTTCACTCCTCTCAATGAGCATTCCCCCCCCAATAATATTTATTAAGTTTCATACAAATACAACACATACTATAAAACCAATGAAACAAAAAGAAAAGGAAAGGAAAAAATAAATAAAACAAATATAGCAAATAATAACCAAAAATATAACCACAAACACATAAACAATAAAAGTTAATTAATTAAACTTCCAACTTCATAAACATATTGCTTGACTTCCTCTAATCTCTTCCATCTGAATTTCCTTGTAACTGAATGTAGCAGTTTTCCAATATCATTATTCAAAAAAGCAATATTCCGATTATAATCAAATTTCTTAACTTTTCATAACATTCTATGTCTCATTTATTTATTTAAATCCTAATTTAATCCTAGGCCTATTTAGTACTGTCAAGTAACTACTAATCTTTAATCTTACAATATTTATTCAAACAGTCTTTAAATTTCTTCCAATCTTCTTGATATTCCTCTTCTTTCTGGTCACAGATTCTCCCAGTGAGATCAGCCAGCTCCATAAAGTCCATCATCTTCATCTGCCATTCTTCCACAGTTGGTAATTCTTGTGTTTTCCACTTTTTGGCTATTAAAATTCATGCAGCAGTTGTGGCATACAAAAATACCTTTACATCTTTCTTGGGCAGTTCAGGACCTAATATTCCAAGGAGAAAGGCCTCTGGTTTCCTCAATGAGCATTTTTAATCTGTTCATCCAAAGTTATTAAATTTCATGCAAATTGTTTGGAACAGGCGAGCCTACAGGGTAGTGCTCTTAAAACCCCTGCGTAAGTGTAGCTAGTCACCCATGTCACTTTCTTTCTTATCTCAAGCAGAGCTTTCAAGATTGTGTTGAAGTCCTTATATGACAAAACACAGCCTGAAGTGAAAGCAGCAGTCTTTAGCATCAGCTTCTGGTTTCCCAGTTTGACAGATTCAACCCAGCACGCTGAAAACTCAAAATGATGCTGTGCCAGCTCCGATGAGCCATTTGTATAAAATTAAACTCCATTACAGAGGAGCTGTTCTGCCCCTGTCATCTCTTTATGTTTTAGGGAGAAAGAGCTGCATCGAAAGGTAGGTGAGGAAGCACTTCGGAGGCAGGAAGAAACACCTGCAAAACCACTTTCCTTCGTGTTCATTCAGAAAGAACCTGACAAGGGCATCTGCATTACAGCGCACGTCTTTAATGCAAAATATGTTCTAACCATGGAACAGTTTGTATCCTATGAAAACAAGCAATGTAATCTGCGGAAGGGGGGGAGCTTGCTTTGAAAGCTGTTTAAGTTGCACTGCCTGGTTGGCAGCCCAAATATAAAATATTATGTAAAAGACACATGTTTTTGCAGTGCACGTTAGGAAGTTGAAATTATCTTTTCACTGAAATTGCTTGTGGGATGAATAGGTCAGTGGGCCTGGCCATGCCCTCCTTGCCTCAACAGAGCCAAGAGAAGAGGAACTGGTACAAGGACCAACGAGCCTTACTGTCTCACATATGGCATAGTGCAAAGGCTGCTTGCAGCCACGTTCAGCTATCTGGCCCTCTCACATACAGAGCTTAAGTTTGAGCATTGTGTGAAAATGATGCTTGGCTCAAACAATTCTGCCAAGCAGGCTAAATTTCTGTCCTCTGAACGCACACAAACATTATGGGCAATCCAATTGTGGTCATATGGCAGACCGCAGGAGCTCCTTGTTGGGCTGTAAGCTTAGCCGCTCACAAGTAAGGCATTTTATTAGTCTTTTAAAATGTTAGAGACGTTCATTTTTGCATCTTACAGAACATTTTCTCATGCCCTGCTGTTTATTCAACCATTTGAACATCTACAATCCCAATATGGAAAGAGCGAGTCGGAGGAGGTTAACTACGTTACAAATATGCCATCGTTGCAAAGTGTCGAGTTATACAAAGGGCCACGTTGCGGAATGAAAGGCATGCTTTCTTTGGGAATTAAAATAATAACATAATAATAATCATTTATTATTTATACACCGCCCATCTGGCTGGGTTTCCCCAGCCACTCTGGGTGGCTTCCAACAAAGAGCAAAAATACACTAAAATGTCACATATTAAAAACTCCCCTGAACAGGGCTGCCTTCAGATGTCTTCTGAATGTCAGGTAGTTGTTTATCTCTTTGACATCTGATGGGAAGGCATTCCACAGGGTGGGTGCCACTACCGAGAAGGCCCTCTGCCTGGTTCCCTGTAGCTTTGCTTCTCGCAATGAGGGAACCGCCAGAAGGCCCTCAGCGCTGGACCTCAGTGTCCAGGCAGAACGATGGGGGTGGAGACGCTCCTTCAGGTATAGTGGGCCGAGGCTGTTTAGGGCTTTAAAAGAGAAGACCAATCAGGCTCCAGGAGGGAAGCAGAATCAGCCAATCAGACGGGACTCATTGTGTAAATAATGTATATAAAGGGCTGAGGTTTCGGAGAAAATTCAATCACTGTTTTACAAGCTGCAATAAAGAGCATGAAATCACTGCAGGACTCCGAGTATATTTCAGTCAGAAATGACAGTCTAGGAAACTTGGAAGTTCCTCTCACTATCTACTCTTTCCCATGTGTTGTATCTCAACTTTCCCACCATCGTATGGACCACACAGAATTGGGCAAATTGCAATCTCCAAAGGGGCAAGATAGACATGATGCCAAACACATAACTTAACAACTACCGCAGAGCGTTCTGATTTTAGTCAGGTCTGTGGTAGATGGGAAGGCGGCTTAACCCTTTCTCTCTCCCCCACCCCCAGCAATTCCAATGAAATTCACCATTGCAATGGCTCTTAGCTTTACAGGCACCTAGGTGAGCATGTCTTCAAGGAATAGTAGCTACCATAGGGGGATGGGGGTTGTTGGGAAAGGGTCAGCCCCCATCCGTATACACTGTGGTCCTGACAAAAGCCCCCTCCACAGAAAAAGTCAAACGGCAACATGTAGCAACACAACTAGTTTAGACCTGAGAGGATTCTCATACATTTTCATTTATAGATAATTTAACACATTTATTAAGTGAGAGGTACTTGTGGGATTTTCTGCTGCAGGTGCCAAAATTGGCCAGCGTTGCTCTTGAGTAGTGATGGAGCAGAAATTCGACTTGGTTTGCATTTAAATACAGACCTGCCTCATTTACCTTTACTGAAACAACAGGCAAACTGCGATGCAGCTTCCTTCAGAAAGTGCACTTCTCCGAATATAGTTGTCCAAAACATTCGGGGAAAATGGGCATAAAAATGTGTCTATGAGTGAAAATAATACACAGTGCATGATATTAGACAAAATTGCTAGCAAATAATTGTGTATAAAAGGAGAAGTGCTGCCATTTCTTTTTGGGGGGAGGGGGAATAGCAAACCAATGGACAACCAAAGGGGGGGATGAGAAATTGAAACTGATTGATTTGTCCATTCCCAATCTTATGCCCTTTGACTTTGAAGTGAGGATACTATTTGCTGTTCTGCCTCAAATAGAAATTTTCTTCAGCCACCCCGTCAAAGACAAAGTTTTACTGTCCCCAGTAGAAAAAGAAAAAAAGTATTTAAGCCACCAACAGAGCATGTTGCAGATTTAGGACATCAAAAGGTAAATTAAGACTTTTGTACTGAGAAGGTTTGCAAAACGTGTTCATTTCAAAGTGTTGGTGTTGACCTTGAAAGCCCTAAACGGCCTCGGCCCAGTATACCTGAAGGAGCATCTCTACCCCTATTGTTCAGCCCAGACACCGAGGTCCTCCTCCGAGGGTCTTCTGTTGGTTTCCTCACTGTGAGAAGTGAAGTTACAGGGAAACAGGCAGAGGGCCTTCTCAGTAGAGGTGGCCTTCCTGTGAAACACACTCCCATCAGATGTCAAGGAGATTATGAACTATATAACTTTTAGAAGATATCTGAAGGTGGCCCTGTATCAGAAGGTTTTTAATCCTTGATGTTTTACTATGTTTTTATATATGCTGTAAGACGCTCAGAGTGGCTGGGGAAACACAGCCAGATGGGCAGAGTATAACAACAACAACAACAACAACAACAACAACAACAATTCTTTTCAATATGTATAAGCTGTTCATTCATCACAAATGGTCTTATAGTCATTTTCAAAATAGTCAGGAAAACAATGCATGAGCATGGTGTTCAAAACAATTAAAAAACACAGGGAAGAGCATAAAGTAAGCCTAACACAATTCACTTAAAATGCCTGCTGGAATATAAAGGGTTTTGTCAAGCACCCAGAGTTCAATATAGAGGAGCCTGTCTGATCTCAGGTAGGAAGGAGTTCCACAAAGTTGAGTCCACAATATTGAATGCTCAGGTCCTGGGGGATATGAGTTGTGCAGCTGAGCCATGGGAAGACCATGAACAGAAACCCCCAAGAAGATCTCAGTGACTGGGCCAGGGATATAAGGAATCATGCAGTATCCTGGACCCAAGATTTATGGGCCTTGTACATTTATACAAGATCCTTTAACTTGGCCCCGTAACATATGGGCAGCCAGTGCAGGGTTCCTTAGGCTGTTATGAAAACCAAAGGATTGACTGTTACTACCTTAATGCTGAGAGTGAACATCTGTTCTAGCTTTGCTTTCGTTGGCTTGCTCAAAGTAATTGACATGACAGTGGGCTCATTAACCAAAATCAAAAAAGGTTAAAAAGTAACAGTGGCCAGAAAGCATTGGAATTCTCTTGATGTTGAATCAGTTCAATTTCTACTCATGCTAATTCTTCTGTCTCCAAAGTGCCAAGCCAATATTCTGTTATGGTTTGTAAATCTAGGGGGATATCTAGATTGGGTCTAAGGTTGAAGATTGGCATAAACAGTGGTCACTACTGCAGATTCTGCAGCCAGGGTATGATCCTGGCTTCCCAACTTACATTGCATGAATACATATCATCAGGTCAAGTGTTGGGTCATCCTTGTTGCAAGTGTTCAGAGATATCATTGTGGTTTTGGTATGATGTAGATATGGCATGGTCTACCCAACTCACAAGAAGATCCCTCCACCACAGGTATAGGAAACCCTTGGCCCTCCAGATGTTGCTGGAAAACAGCCTCAGTAAGCAGGGCCAATGGCGAGAGATGATGGGAGTTGTCATTCAGCAACATCTGGAGGGCCAAAGGTTCTCTACACCTGCTCTGGTTTGGATGCTTCATAAAGCAATACAGGACCAGGACAACATCGGACATCTTTATTGGTTCCAGACACTCCATTCTCCCCAGCTGGATTTGGGCCTAGAAAAAAATGAGGAAACGTATAGGTGCACAAGGGGTAAGCAGTAAGCAAGCACAATTTGTTACCATTGCACTCATAATTAAACCTCACAGAGCTGCAATTTGCAGAGTTCCTTAGGAAAAGGGACTGTTACACACACACACACACACACACACACACACGGGAATGGTAGTTTGTGTGAGGGGAATAAGGGACTTCCTAACAACTATCAAATTTCCCGGAATTCTTTGGGAAAAACCATGACTGTTAAAGTGGTAGAAAAGTGTTTTAAATATATGGTGCAGATGTGACCTTATAGAAGAGGCAGGTTACTTTCCCACTTATACGATGTCCATCTTTCCTGAAAAACAAAAGCTACAGGAGCCCTGTAAAATGAACACTCAGTTCCTCACAAGCCATTTATAAAACACCCCACTCTCGATTATTTTTAGCGGGATGTGGTGAAAACTGTATTCATAAACACTGTCGATAATAATAACTGACCCATATAAGGCCTCATTGAAAAAAGCTTGTCTTTATTTGGGGGGGGAGGGGGTTAGGGGGATAAAAGTACAATCTCAGGAACTAAACAAGCTCACAAAAGCAAGAGCTTTTAATACGGAGATCTTGCTCAGAATGATCAAGCTGGTGTCTACACAGATGTAAGCCTCAGTGTGTTCAGTTGGATTTACTCGCAAGCAACTGAGCATATGGTGGCAGCCTTGGCATTTTATCTATAGAAGCTGAGTTGCCATAGCGATATCCTCCCCACCACCACCCCAATAGATGATTACTGGCTTTATTGCATAGGAATCGTTCAAGAACTCCGCTTCCTGCGTTTAGAGAATCAACCTGCCAAAAGCAGTAATAGCTAATATTTTAGCAAGTTCAGAAAAGTTCAAGACATTTTCAAATGAAAGATGGGGGTATCATTTTTTCGGTAGGATGCTTTTGTGTGGGCACAAAGCTCCATCTGCACAACACACCGGCTGCTTTGAGAGATTTGTCTTCTCCCATTGCGTCTTCACCATATCTGAATCCAGCCCAAAGCCACCTGTCTGTAGCAATCTTCAAATAGG